CGGCTATTCCAGCGGACATGCTCCACAGAACATGGCAAGAGCTCGAATATCGTCTGGACGTTCTCCGTGCTACCAAGGGAGCCCACATCGAGGTCTACTGACGTCAGTAGAAAACTTCCAGAGTTTCACTGTAATCTGCTGCAAACCGCATGTGGCTAGCTCAATTTGTTTTCGCGCCACAGTTTTTCAAAACCACGAAGGGACTTTGTGGACACACTGTATATACTTGATTTATCTGGCTGAGGATACGGTCCAGCGAAGGGATTTTGTGAAAATTAAACTCTGCACACAAATTGTCTTGGAGTTTTGATTCCTAGTTGCCTCTTTGTCTGTCCGGGCGTGCCCAGGTCGTGCGAGCAGGCATTCCTCTGACTGTTACGTACTGAGCGTAGCTGTAGAAGATCTGAAGCTTTCACGGCGACCGAGTATAATTCTTCTAGGGCTTAACGAAGAAGAAGCGTCTTCGTCCTCGTACCCCGAGGCCACCTTACGCGGTTTGGAGCTTGAGAACAATTTATTATACGGTGGTCTAGCGGTCAGAACTCTGGGCTTGTCTGGGGTCCCGGCTTCAATTCCCGGTGGTGCCCGGATTTATAACTTGTGTTGGGCAAGGCCGTGGTCCAGGTATCACGGGGTTTTCCTCCGTGGCATCCCAATTACTCCATTTTCATCATCATTTGAAGAACGCAGAAGAAGGCAACGGCAAACCACTTCTGGATCATCTGCCAAGGAAACGTTTCAGAGGGAACTCGTTCATGTCCCCAGGGGTCGGCTCCGACCCGATGGTACGAAAAAAAAAAAGAAGTTACATGTATAGTATTTGTCTAGTTTATTATATATTAATTTTTATGTATGAATCTTAAAGCTTGAATATTTTTAAACTTGAAGATCGCGAGTCTCGGTATCCGCTTCTATCCGTCATTGCATTTTATTTTTTTTAAGCCGGTGACAATTCTCCTCTGCCGTAGATATCCAAGAAATATTCTGTTGGCATATTTATGGGAATCGTACGTTTGTTTGTTTGTTTCTAACAGAACGAAGTCATGTGGCAGTCTGAAATGGAAAACACGATAAAATATGATATTATTAATACTGACGCAGCAAATCAACAACTGAGGCTAGAAACTTACGTCTGCTCGGGCACATTTCGAAATTCACTGACTTCTTGCCTAATGTATTATTTTGCACGAATCATTGATGTTTCATCTGAGTGTAAGTGATCCGTACGTTACACCCCTCAAAGAGCGAGCTGTCGCATTTCGAATGCACACGGCAGTGTCTACCTGGTGACCGACAATTTTCGGGGTAGCTCTGCCAATATAGTGACTGGCTACGGTCTGGACGACCGGTGTTCGATTCCAGACGGGGGCAGAGGATTTTTCCTCTAGCCTCTGGGGCCCACACAGCCTCCTCTACAATGGGTACCGGGGTCCTTTCCCGGGAGTAAAGCCGGCCGGGGCGTGATGCTGACCACTCACCCCCATCTAGTGCCGGGGTCAAGGAAGAGAGGAGCTATACATCCACTCAACCCAAACGCCTACATGGCGTATAGTGGGACAAACTTTACTTTACTTTTACTGTTCCTTGTGTATCCGCTTTCTTCCGTCTCTATCTTCGTTTTTTTTATTTCGTAATCATCGCCTACCTTTCTACTAAGCATTGTGGAGTTTGCCGATAGAATGTCGCCAATCGGCCCATGTAAAGGCATTTTCTAGACAAATCTCTTACATATATATATATATACACCCTATTGTTGGGATTTGAACCTTTGATCCCCAGATCTTGAGTGGTCGAAGATCTAGCAGTGAACAACCGCTGGGACATTCCCCTATTACAAAAGGACTTGTGTTAGTGGGACAGATTTACTTTTAAACTGGTATACTGTGACTTAAAAGAGTAATGAACTATAAGGTAAGTTTTTTTAAAATGGGTTGGTACGCCAGTAGACGGTATTCTCTCACGAAATCCTTGGAACTATTTTATAGAAACCCGGGCTTCTTTGGAGCACAGTTTGAAAATGGTACGCGTTGCTTGAAATGTGGAAAAGCCAGTGTAAATTATTGGTAATTTTTTTTTCCTACAACCATAACGCACTGTACCAAACCTGAGAACCTTGGCAATCAAGTTCTACCAGTTCATGGATCATCACCTGTTAATGTCAAGTAATTCCGTTACGCTACTGTTGATTGTTGCAAAAATATTTTTGTCCGCTGTATATTTTTCTTTCCTTTAGAATGTTATTTGTACTGTAAATTTATGTGTTATCTGATGTCATTACAGCTCTGATTATTGTCTTTAAATTAACACGAAAACATCCAACTGACGCCCCGTGTTGCCGGAATTACATCATTCCATGATTTCGACACAAAGGTTTTGATGTCACGTTAAAATCGTTTTCAGAATGTAAATGTTAGTAGATTGGCCGTCACCAAATCGACTGATTCAAGGCCGCGGAAGGTCTACCGCCCCACAAACCTCTTCATTTGTCTGATTCACTGTAGACAAGCGTTCCTCGACCGCTAGTCCGCGGTAATTTTTTTTTTATAAGTTTTTACTACCGAAGCCATCGTCTTTCTTAAAACTCGTGGGGGAAAAAGGAATTAATTCAAAGGATAAAGACGAATGTGATCTAGAAAGTACAAAAACATTATTTTCCACTTATACAAATTTTATTATTATATTCGTACATATTTGGCTTATCATTCAAGTCACTGTATCTGTTCTTAAATGTAGTTCATTAATGCGGATTTGCGTTTTATTTCGGCGATGAAAGAAACGAATTAATAAAGAAAATATGTGAATGAAAGGTTATTGTGTTTATGAGAAATTCACAACATAGCGAGGAGTAATATCCTTCTTGGGATGACATGAAACCAAACAGTTTTGTTCCGCGCTGCACCCAAACCCTAAAATAATGTCCTACACTGAACGCGTAATTTTTCACTGACGGTGGTGATAAGTCTTCTGGTTCAGTAACAAAGTTCTTGATCTTTGGAATCAACTGTGAGGTGTACCCAAGGAAAATCTTGTCCCTCAAGATAGGTACCTTGTTACGTCATTTTATTTGCGCATTTTACTGTAAATTGGTGTTCAAGAGACTGTTCGTGTTTTATGCCCATTAGTTTGCGATCTTATCGCATGCCATGGCCACGTTAATTCAGACTTTAATCTTGGAAATATGGAATCACGTACTGAATGAATTACATAATAGTTTAGTCGATATTAATATTGAAGAAATTTTAAAAAAATATTGATTTTATTGTGAAATGTGTAATTATTCTTGTTGACCTTATCCATCGTCTACGTGTTTTAAACTACAACGTTTCGCAAATTGGTTCTACTTCCGTCTTCAGGTCCGATGGTAGCACCAGACCTATTCTGTCGGGTCATCTGGTTGTGCTACTCCCAGACCAGGACAGATACTGCATTAACAAGTTTGTAACGGAAAAGTTCGATGGCCGTGGGCGTGTGAAGAACACAACACGAGAGAGAGAATTAGGATGGATAGCAAAGTAGAGGGAGAATGTGAGAGAAAAGTGACAGACATTTTATTTCTGGAAATGCGTAAGGGGGGAGAAATAGAATCTTATTTTTAGGTTAGGTTCGAAGGCATTGTCGGTTGGTTTTTCTGATGAGGATAGAGTTCTGGGCGTTTTAGATGGAGCCAATGCAATTTTGATTTATCTATTAATTTTGTGATGATAATTTGGATTGATAAGTAATTTAACAGCTTCCAGAATAAGGGGTAAATGATGATTAATTTAAATCGGGATATCTGTATGATAAACTTGCAATAGGAACTTGGGAACCATCTCAGTATTTGCTTAGAGGCAGAGGAAAACCAAGAAAATCTGTATCGAGATGGCCGGTCGCAGGACCTTCCAACAAGACTTCCATAGGCTTTATTGATAATTTCAGAACTTTTTATGCAAAAGTTTTGAGGTTATGTTAGATATATGTAGGTCTAGGATGTCGAAAGAGCAGCTTCCATTAGTGATTTTTTTAATCGGAGTAGTTCATTAAAATCTTATGCGTCGATCCGCTGTTTCCTCACTCATGGAATAAAACCTAGACCGTGTCTGTGTTTCGTCAGTCTTCTTCCTTTGTCTTAGGAGTCGTCAACACGTCGTATGGGTTCTCGATGTGATCATAAATGTTGCCTGTGGACTGGAACCTCTGACGAATATCCTCCTGAAATAACTTAACATTCTTCTCAAGCAGGACTTAAGTTTGTTTGTATTTCCATATAAGGACGTAAGTGCACACTTAGCCCTGCAACTGATAAAACCATGTGATATTTCAGGTTCTCACGGCGTTGAGTACGATTATGGCTGTCTTCTGTTTTGTTGCTTCGTGTAGTCTGATAGAAGTTTACCGACGTTTCAGAGTTCCTTACTGCTTCAATCATCAGCGCGATCGACCTGGTGATGGAGGCAGAAGGGCATCTTCAACAGATCAACCTAGAAACAGGATGTGACGTTTCTTATGTTAATGAAAAATTGGATCGTTCTGACGTAATTTCCACTGAACCAATTTAAAATTTAATTTTCGTGTCATGACCTTTGATCGTCTCCAGGACAGTGTTCTTGTATAGAGTTTAGATTGGAGTCAGTTGGCCTTGGGAGTTAGGTGATAATTCATAATACCTTATTCTGGAAGACTGTCCCGCGTTCTTTTCGATCTTGTGAGGGTTTTATAAATTGTTCGTTCAAGATTAATGTTGATGGAGGATGGCTTGTTCAAGACGGTGTAGAGTTGCGTGACTCCTTGGTTGGCTTTGCTCAATGATTTATCTATATTATATAATCTGCAGACGAATTTCGAGTCTAGGGATACTCCAAGGTGTTTGGTCTCTCGTGTACAACCAATATTTAAATGAAATATCTTAAGTGGAGACAGATTATTGTCATGGCGTCGGAAAATTCAACCCCTTTCAGAAAGAGATTACACCATTACAAGGATAAAGTAGTTAATGCTATTTAAGTCATCCTCACAGCCGTGAAAACCTCAACTCTCATAAAGCATTACGCTGTGTAGAATTCAGTCATGAAGATGGAGACAACATGTTCCTCCGAAACTTTGGTATCTACTTACCTGCCCACATGAAGTAACTGTCCAGAAGACGAACATTGTACCCTCACTACCGGGAAAACTGTATACGAAAAAATGTTACGTATACGTAACAAACAGACAAACAAACAAGGGCATTGGATGAGATAACAAACGTAAAGCATTTAATACAATCAAACGCGACCGATATAAAAAGAACAGGTAATCAAATAAAACAAAAGCCAGATAAACAAGTTGAAAAATAAATATGTATTACGTTTACACAAAGGCGAGAACAGAAGATCTGTAACAAAATTGTTTATAAGCATGAAATTGAAAATAGCATTCCGAACTAGGGTTACAATTGAAAGGTTGCTTAAAACAATAGACGTACAGGATTTTATAAACTTACGTGTTTGGACAGTCGTAAATCAAATAGATAACAGCTTTTAAAAGAGGTATGGAGACCTCATATAAAACATTAAAAACTCCGAAAATAATATGAGAAATTAGAGTAAGTACTGCACAAGACAGCTTCTAGAGAATGGGGTCATATCACAGATATGAAGGGGGAGTTCACATTTATATAAGTACAAAATTTTAATCACGT